TATAGGCATACATACAGGCAAAAGACTTATACAAATAAAAATAAATAAGATTTAAAAATTGATATAGTTTTAATAAAATCTTAATGGGGAATGAGGGTTGAGCTGTATGCTCAAGGTGGGTTTTATGCTTAGTCTATGCAAGGCCCTGAGTTTGATGCCACACACACACACACACACACACACACACACACTCACTCACTCACACACACACAAGCCCCACAGAACATAAAATCATGACATTGGTCACCTTACTCCTCTACTTAAAAGACAGACGAGGGACTGGGGACATGGTCCACTTCACAAGCTTGGTGACCGACCTTTGATGGGAAATGTCATTCTGTAAATATGTTTCTGGTGTTGGTTAATGAATAAAGCACTGTTGGCCAATAGGAAAGCAAGATAGGTGGGACTTGGAGACTAGGAGGAGAGAGGAAGTTGTAGGGAGGAGATTCAAGATGGAGGACAGAGAGAAGAATGCCAGCCCCTCTCTCCGCTAAAATGAGACCACGTGGAAATACTTAGATTAATAGAAATGGGTTAATATTTAAGACAGAGCTAGCCAATAAGAAACTAGTAACTGGCCAACAGCATTATATCAAATACAGAGTCTCTGTGTGTTATTGGGGGCTTGTGTGGTGGTGGGACCCGACTGGCAGGAAGAAATACCTTACTCATAACAGACCTGAGTTCAATCCCTAGAACCCATGTAATCTGTAATCCAAGCACTCCCATGTTGAGATTTGAGGTAGAGACAGGAAAATCACCTGGAACCTAGGACAGCCAACACTGAGAAGCCACCCTGGGGGTTTCCAGGTATACACAGTCCACAGGCAGAAATAAGAGACCCTGCCTCCCAAAAGTTATATCCTGACCTCCACATATATGCCATGACATTTGCATACATGTTCATGCACACAATAATAAAAAATATATATATTTAAATCTAGACCAATCTTCCTTGACTCCAATGCCCTTCCCAAAGAATCACTCCTGCCCTCAATAACAAATTTACTCTTTTGTGCTAGTTCATTCAACTAAATATGAACTTCGCCAGGGTAGGGGAACGTGTCTCGTTTTTTCACTAACATACTACTTACTGTCTGACCTACCACTATCACATACCATGTGCTGTTAATAAGCTGAATGAATGACATGGATGAACACAAAGAACTATGATTAAGTTACCAGTGACACTTCTGCAAGCAGAGTTAGACTAATATGAGCATATTCTAGTCTTTGGTTCTTCTTGGAAGACATTGAAATCTGTGAGGTCAGAAAGGGAATAGCAAAAAGAAAAAGAAAGAAAAAGAAAGGGAATAGCAATTCCCCTTGAACTTTATACAAAGGGAATGAGATGTTATGGACTCTCTCTGCTGTCTCTCTCTCCAAAAAATCAATTTGCGATCTGACCATGCAGTGGCATGTAGTAATACCTCTTGACTCTTTACAGCTGCATAATATTCTGCTATGAATGTCCATATAGGATATGTGTGTGTGCATATATATATATATATATATATATATATATATATATATATTATGGGTATATGTTTGTCTGTACAATATGATTACCAACATACTGGATAAACAAGTGGTTGTTTCCTGTTACCTAACTTGTTCTTCTGTTACCACAGAGCTGGTAGTAGTAGAATGTTTGGGTCACATGGTAGGGTTCCTTAGCTTACATGGAAATGGTGTACTGGTTTGACATTCCTGCCAGCACTGTGAATTCATCTGCTCTGCTTCCAGCTCACCAAGGGCACAGTCAGTCTTTTTCACTTCTCTGAGGCTGATAACTGTGCACACCCTCTCAAGCACTTAGTTGCCACCCCCATCTTTACATATAAATTATATAATTTAATTAGATTCATAAATATATTTTGGTTGTGAGCCTAGCCTTTAATGGCTGGGCCATCTCTCCAGCCCTAGATTAATAAATGTATAACAAAAGTATACAATAAAATAGCTAAACATAATTTGATTTTACTATATTTAAGTTCTGAATATTGAAATTAGGAAGGAGGATCTTGCTCATTGTAGAAGAACACAGAGGTTATAAAGAAGAGGGTACAGTCCTCCACACTAACCACCGCCCACAGCCCACAGGTGACCATAGGGTATGAGAACCACCAGAAACACACCCCTGTTAAACACAGGATTCCCCTTAGAAGTGGGCTTGGCTGAAGCATTTTAGCAAATATCTAGGAGTTTTTGATGTAAGTGTCCGATACATCACTTCTCGAGAAATTCCGTTCTGCTGGGAATGCAGTCAGTGGGTCTTGGGGAGGAATGGGGGGGACACAGCTGCCATCAAATAAGGAGGAGTCTTTTGCTGAGACAGGAAGCATGTTTGCTATAGTGTCCTCTTAAAAAAGAATTCAACACTCGGGAGGCAGAGGCAGCAGAGCTCTGTGAGTTCAAGGCCAGCCTGGTCTACAGAGTTGGTTCGAGGACAGCCTCCAAAGCAAGCAATACAGAGAAATCTTGTCTCAAAAAAAAAAAAAAAAAAAAAAAAAAAAGACGATTCAAAATGTTAGGAACGGGAGTGGCTGGAGCAACAGGTCAGTTATTTAGAACACTGACTGCTCTCCCAGAGGACCTGGATTCAATCCCCAGCACCCATATGTTCCTTCAAAACTGGCTTTAAAGCCAGTTCCAGGGGCTCTGGTGCTCTCTTCTGGCTTCTGGAGACACTGCCTACATGTGGCATATAAACATACTCACAGGCCATATACACAAAATATTAAAATAAAAGGAAAGAAACAACTGTGAAACAAAGTCATAGCATAAGTTACCAAAATAACCATGTTAAAAAAGACACTGTGAGTTTTTAAAAAAGCAGTGATATAGAGGTGGAAAAAGCAAAGACATCACACACACACACACACACACACCTTCCTTCTCTTTGTAAATACATGAGCAGACAGGTGGTATGTGTCTTAACCCAAATTAAAGAGCAACAGTTATTTGCCCTTTCCTGGCTCTCCTTGGAAGGTTGACAGGTAGAGAAAGGAGGCCATACAGTATTTATTTATTTATTTGTTTGTTTGTTTGTTTGTTTGTTTTAAGAAGAGGTCTTTTTATAGATCAGTGGGTCTGCCCAAACTACATCTTCACAATTCCCAGATCCACAGATTTTAAAGTTCTTCAGTCCCTTAATAAACAAGTACCAGGCTATAGAGTGTCAAGCTCGATAAATGCCATGCTGCTTTGGTGGCAGCACTCAGACACACCCCCTCCCCCTTAGTTGAATAAAAAGCCATTGATTTGAGCTGGGGCAGAATCAAGCAAGGCACTGTTTACCACGGTAATCCGCTGAGCCAAGGGAGATGCGAGCCAGCTGTTGGTGAATCCTGTACCCTGGCAGACATTCAATGAGCCTGTGTGTCTGAACAAGAATGGTGCTGCCAGGTCCCAGTTCATGTCCTCTTCCTTTCATTTAAAAACACACCATAAGGTTCTGGTTCCATTTGAAAGAGGCAAGTGATGCCTAAGAACCATCCTTGTTAGAACATCTGGTAGTTTCCACTTTCAGTTTTGACTTTGGGTCATACAGTGGACAGGGCTCAGTGGTTAAGAATGCTTGCTGCTTTTCCAGAGGACCCAAGTTCAATTCCCCTTGCCAGTGTTATGCAGCTCACACCACCTGTCACTTGAGCTCCATGGGGATAGGAAGGATCTCATCTCAGAGTACCTGCACATACCCACACACAGGCACACACATACATACATATAATTAAAATACATATAAGTATTTAAAAAGTAGTGGAGTACTTCACTGTATCCTTGTTTAAGGTACTCTCACCAGGGTATGTGCTGTGTTTTGTTAGTCACCATCTTGTTGATTTTATTATACTTTCCTGGGTATGGTTTTGTCTTTGGAGTGGTGCATGTGAGTGGGGGCCAGAGGCCCCAGCAGGATGCCTTCCTTGGTCTCTCTCCACCCTATTTTTTGGCAGTCTCCCACTGAACCTGAAGCTCACCTATTTAGCTAGGGTGGCTGGCCCTTTAACTCTGCCTGTCCCCAACCCCTAGAAAAGCCAGACTTTTAAGTGGTATGAGGACTACAATTTCAAGCCCTCATGCTCGCAAGACTCTATCTGTTCGGGATCTCCCCAGTTCCGCTAATATACAGACATGTTAAAGTTTTCCTTTTATTTTACTATGTATACAGCCCAATTCTTTACAGGTCGTTCCTAAATGGCACAGCCTTGTTTGAACTGGATTATCAGCATTGGCCCTTCTGTTAAGCATGTACTACGTGCCAGGTAATCAGGCTTTCCACTCAAAACAACCTGCAGGGCAAGGCACTGGGCCTGGAAAAGGGCGGACTGGGCTTTCCAGTTCACCTAAGAGTGCAGAGGCTGCCTACTGGCCACCGGTCCCCTCTCTACAATGGAACGAACTGTTCTCAGAAGTTCCGCCCGAATGTTCAGCGGACAGCTATTCTGCCGGACCCCTGACCTCCAGAGGGCCAAGAACCAGCACCTGTGCCACGCCACGGGTGCCCTTCTCCACCTCCAGCTGCCTCCTGGGTCCAGTTCTGATACCACTTTTCTAATGTCCCAATTCTCCTTTAATCCATCTCAGATTTCTGACCCTTTCTTCCCTGGTCTTGCCGGTCTACTCAAAAGTATAGTTTTTAAGCCTAGATTCCTCTCCGTCGTTTGAATCCTTCCTTTGTTTTAATGAATGGCTTCTTATGGAAAGTCACCTCGCATCAGACACAGACAACGAGATTAAGAATATATACTGATATATATATTCATTCGCTCTAGCCCAGCTTGCCTTCCTGGACCTGTTTCCCACCCAGAAAGGGGCGCGGTGGAGCCACCTGGATCGGGTGGCTTGAGTTCCTAAGAGGCTAGGCACCCAGCACCTTGGGGCCTGAGATCCGGCCACACCCCGCCTCTCTGCCCCCCACCCGGCGCTCCGCATCTGCCCAGCAGCTGTTTCCCCGCAGCCCTCCTGGAGGCATCCTGACGCCGGGCTGGACTCACCGCGCACGCGCCGCTTGCCCTCCGGTGTCACTCGCACCCTCTGGGCTTCGGCTGTAGGGCCCTGGGAGGCTCCGCTGCCTGCTGTGCACGCGCAGAGCGCGCCACCGCCTTTGTCAGTTGCCAACTCTGAGACCAGGTTGTTTTCTGCATGCGCTCCCTGAGTCACCCCAGCAGCCGAGGGCGTTCCCAGGCCTCGCCTCCGCCGGTTGAGGGCGGGGCAGCTCCGCATCTGCCAATTCACCTTATCCGACTGCTCCCCTCCACCCCCACCCACCCACCCACCCACCCCTGCACTGGGACCACAAACTCGAGGGCCCTCCTCCTGGGAAAGGGTCTCTGTGTGCTGGGACCCGAATCACTGAGCTTGAGGGGCGTGTCTTAGGTTACTTTCTACTGTCGTGATTAACACCAGGACCAAAAGCAACTTGTGGGGAGGACTTAGGTGTCAAGCTCACAGTCTTGTCACCCTCAAAGGAAGCCAGGGCAGGAACTCCTGCAGGGAAGGAAGCAGGTGGCAGGAACTGAAGCAGAGACCATGCTTTCTCCCTAGCCTGTTTTTGTTTTTTGTTCTATTTGTTTTGGTTTGGTTGGTTTTGGGTTTTTTGTTTGTTTTTTTGTTTTGTTTTGGGGGGGTTTCTTCTGTTTTTGTTTTGCTACAAGCCAGGGCTTCAAGCTTTTGAACACCCTCAGGGCTGGGCCCTCCCACAGCAATCGTTAATCAAGAAAATGCCCCATGGACTTGCCTGTAGACCAATCTGATGGAGGCATTTTTCAGTTGAGGTTCCCTCTTTCCAGGTGACCTTAGCTTATGTCCAGTGGACCAAAACCTAAGCAGCTTGGACTTTAAATGTGAGTACCACCTGTGGAGCATCACTGGTTCTTGTCCCAAGGCTCTGTGCCCACAAAGCTGCCAGTTGTTTCTTCTTGGACATGCCGGTGTTTTATTTTGTACCACAGTGAGCGAGAGTCTCTTCTGGGCACGGAAAAATCAGAAGTTAATTTTAGAGACAGTGTCCCCGCTAGCCGTAGCCTCCCGTACTATACATTAAACTTATAGTTGGAAAGCGCAAATTACTGTGAAACCAACAGAACAATCACCAGGATAACCTAAGCATGTGTGTGAAGACGGCACTGACCGGCTCGACCTAGTATTACTTGTCTAAAGACAGGCGCTCACTATGTAGCTGACCTGGAACTCAGTTACCTACACCAGGCTGGTGCCGGACTCACAAACATATGCCTGCCTCTCCCAAGTGCTGGTATTAAAGGTGTGCACACTACACCTGGCCCAGGTTTTGGTTTTTTTGCTTTTTAATAATGCTTTCTTAAACATTTACAAAGAAATGAGCATCGCCTTGCCCCTACTTACAGTAACCCAAAGATAAAATGTGTTCATTCTCCTCTACTTCTTTCTCCAACAGTAATCAACCTTTAAATTTTACCTACTGAAAATCACATTTGCCTTGCTTAGAATTCAAAAGCATATTCATGAGATTGTTTCTCGCTGATCTTTGGATGTCTTCAGTGCCTGGCATACTGCCATGGATAAAGTGAGTTCTGACTTAGTGTTTGTCGAGTGGGTGGGTAAAAGAGTACAAACTAAGAAACCAGGGGAAGTGTGGCTTCAAATGGGACAGCACATATTTTGAGAACAAAAGGACAGCCACCTTATCCACTGCTGTTTCTCCTTTTTCCTGAGTCATACAAAACTCAAAAGCAACCCAGACAGAACTCCCAACCCAGTTGCAATATATGTAGGTATATGCAATGTATGTATGTATGTATGTATGTATGTATGTATGAATGTATGTTTTGTTTTCTGAGACAGAGTTTCTTCTGTGTAACAATCCTGACTGTCCTGGAACTCACTCTGTAGACCAGGCTGGCCTTGAACTCATTGAGATCCATCTGCCTCTGCCTCCCAAGTGCTAGGAATAAAGGTGTGCACTACCACCACCCATCACCAGTTGCAATAAATTGAAAGATTATGCTCTTTGGGGTCAAATATATCTGGAAATGATGGGACTAGTTAGGCTGCTAGGGTCTTCAGCAGTAATAAAAACTGGTACTGGTTAACTGAGGCAGAAATGGAATGCATGAATCACCAGAAAGTCTGAAGAGAGGGCTTGAGATATGGCTCAGCAGTTACGAGTACATGCTACTCTTCCAGAAGACCTGAGTTCAGTTCCCAGCACCCACACTGGGCGGTTTACTGCCCTCTTCTGGCCTCCACATGCACCTGCACACACATGACACACGGGCAAGGGAGGGTGTGTGTTCACACACACATTCCCACGCTCACACACAATGTTTTAAAATGAAATAAATCTGAAAGAAAAGGAAAGGGTGAAGAATCAAACTAGAAACATAGGCAGACACGAAGGCAGGCTAGATCATCAGTTCTCAACCTGTGGGTCACAATCCCAATTGGGGGAGAGGATATCATATGAGGTATCTTACATATCAAATATTTACATTATGGTTCGTAACACTAACAAAATTACAGTTATGGAAGGCAGTTGTGCTAACCACTATACCACCAACTCTCTACCCAAAATTACAGTTACGGAGTAGCAATGAAATAATTTTATGGTTGGGGATCGCCACAATATGAAGAGCTGTATTAAAGGGTCACAGCATTAGGAAGGTTAAGAGCCACTAGGCTAGAAGATCAGATCCATGAAGAAGCCATACCACAGGGAGGATGCTTCTGCTCCTCTGCTGAGCACCAGCAGTTGGCTATTCCATCCCCAGACTCTGGTGACAGTGATGAGCTGTTACAGCTGACCCAACTGTCATCCTGCAAACAAGTGCCAAATGACACCTTCATCGTAATTCAGTACAGTTGATAGGATACTTTCATGAATTGCCTGCCTCTCTTCAATGTCCCCTCTCTCTTGCATCACAATCTAAGATGAACTGTGTATTAGGTTTTTTTGTTGCTGTGACAGATAGCTTAAGAGCAGAAGTTTTATTTGTTCATGGTTTAAGTCAATGGCTATCCAGTGCATTGCTTTTAGGTCCATGGCAAGGCAGAAGCATCATGGAGGTAGTTCATGGTAAAAGAAAGCTGCTCACCTCCAAGAAACCAGTAGGGAGAGAAAAGGAGAGTGGGAGAGGGAGAAATGGAGGGAGCCAGGGGTGGGTAGTGAACAGATACCGCCCCTCCAACCAGACCCCTGCTCCTGATAACCTATCCTTCTATGTACGCATTGGTGGATTAATCCATAGAGGTCAGTATTCTTAGAATCCATTTGCTCACCCCCAATAAAAACAAAAGTGTGGTTTCATGTTGTCTTTATAGTTACTATCATAAAATATTCTTTAAAAAAAGCAACTCATGGGAGAAGGGGTTTGTTTTGACTTACAGTTTTGGAGAGATACAGTCCATCTTGCCGGAAAAGGTGTGACAGCAGGCAGGGGAGGCAAAGTGGCATGACAATTGGCTACATTCCTCTGTACTCGGTACCAAAGTGTGGACAGGAAATGGGGCCAGGCTATGAAGCCTCGAGGTTCCCAGTAACTTCCCAGCCTCCAACAAGGCTTTACTTCCTAAAAGTCCTATACTTGCCCAAACTGCACCAAGAAGGTGGTGGCTACAAGTGTTCTAACATGAGCACGTATGGTAGGGAAGCATTTCGCACAGAAACCACAGCACACACTGTGGTACTGTAGTTGTCCATTGTCCAGGCAGTGCCTGCACAGTGTTCAGGACCATTTATAGACCATGCCCAGACTCCTGTTCCTCAGCAACCCACATGTCACATCTCATGAGAACACGGGCACATACTGATGCTATAGCAGAAAGAGGACCATAAGCATTTGGGCTACTTCTTTATGTAACTCACTCAAACCTTCAGGTTGTGATTGAGCCTGAGTATGTATATAGTGCATCATTTAATGATAGGTTTCTCCTGCACACAACGCTGGTGTCTCAGAAATCCCTGTCCAGTGTGAAAGCCTGGAAGAACCCTAGAGAGGGGCTGGTATCAAATCCACTTCAGAAGGCTGACAATACTGGATTCTGATGTTAGCAGAGGAGGGCGGCAACAGAGACAGACGGGCAGGCTCACACTGCTCTTTCCTTAGACATCTTTATATCTGGACCACACCTTGTAAGGTGCCACTCACAAGAAGAGTAGGTCATCCCCTATCAACTACTCGTTGTTAGAAATACTCTCTCAGACAAACCTAGAAATGCATCTCCTAGGTGACTGGGGACCCTATCAAATTAATTATGAAGTCCAAACATCACTTTAGGGAGAGTGTCTAAAGAGAAAACATGTTATCAGTGACCTGCAAGTTGTAAAAAGGAAGCCAGGTGGTGGTGGCACAAGCCCGTAACCCCAGCACTCAGGAGGCAGAGGCAGGTGTATCTCTATGAGTTTGAGATCAGCCTGGTCTACAAAGCACTTTCCAGGACAGCCAGAGCTGTTACACAGAGAAAACCAGTCTTGAAAACAAAACAACAACAAGAAAAGTAAAAAGAATGTACTAATCAGAGTTCTCCAAATGACAACGATAGAGGCTATGTACAGACAAAGCACAGACAAGGAGAAAGGTTTCTTTCAAGAGCTTGGCTTACACAATTGTAGAGATTCATAAGAATGAAGTCATCAGTGTATGCTAGTAGGCTTGAGACTCAGGGAAGTGTTACAACTTTGGCCCAAGTAATTGTTTCCAGGTTGGTGGAGGTGAGTCTTGGGTGTTCCTCTAGACTGTAACTCCATTTGTAAACCAGGCTGACTTTGAACTAATAGAGATCCACCTGTCTCTGCCTCCAGAGTGCAGGGATTAAAGGCATTCGGCACAAAGCCTCAACCTTGCAGGGCTTCTCAAACTTTTCCATTTGAGATCCCTTTCTCCTAAAATACCAGATATATAGATAAATAAAAGTTATACAAACCAAACATGTATTGGTTAGCAAATCATGAAGAGATTTACTTTAAAGCAATTCTTTAGTTTACACTTATTTACTTGTTTATTACATTTTATGGCTATCAGTGCTTTGCTTACATGTATGTCTGTGTGAGAGTGTCAGATCTTGGAGTTCCAGACGGTTGTGAGCTGCCATATGGGTGCTGGGAATTGAACTCAGGTCCTCTGGAATAGTAGTCAGTTCTTTCAACCACTGAGCCATCTCTCCAGCCCCTTGTTTACTTT